GCAAGCATGAAGCCCACAACACGGGCTTTGATTCAGCAAGCAACTTCATCAAATCTACATGTTCAAAATTTAGCTTTGGTTACTCAGTTATTAATGCAGCTTGTAGAAACATGGAGGTGACTGCTAAAGGGTCTGCAAAGATTTTCTATAGATAATCTGAGAAGATAGCTTACACAGTGTTCCATACTTCCTGTGGACTTTAATAACTGCTTTCATAGATTGTTGTTTTCTTTAAATAGCACAAAAATAGCCTAATAAAATGGCCATGGTTTTCATGCTCATGCATTTTCTTACTATCCAGTTTAAAATTTCTTTTAACAGTAGTGAAAGGTGTCAGATGGTTTTGATAACTACATAAGATATACTTATTTCATTCACTGAATAAAAGAAGAGGAATATAATAGGCTAATTTTATCTTATTTCTTAGGAAATCCTGGTGAAATAACAAGATAGAACTCAAGAGTTTACCTCTCTGTTCTTTCAGGAATACCCAAGAGCTTGATCATTTCCCTTCATCTCTTTTTATCTTAGGTTTCTTTTTCTGCAGATGAATGATCTTCAAGGACTGCTGCTCTTATTATCATGCACTAGTGTTATTAGTCTGTGCTATTGCCCAGTGTCATAGGATGATTTACTTTAGCAGTTAGCATGCAAGAAAAAAATTTAATAATTTTCATTTTTAACATACCAAAGACTTCGGGTTACTTTCCATAATTCATATCACCATTCAATCCGTTCTTTTTTGTGGCATCAGGATTAACATTAATACCAGTGCTATTCTATTTGTCTGAAGGAGATCATTTCAGGGTTTTTCTTTCTGTTAGTGAGCTGTTCTAAACTCATGAATCCCTTTTGACTTCAAAAAGCTATGCAAGGTGTGTAGGAGTGCTCCCCAACCTCATTTACAGGAAATCCTTGTAAGTTGCTTCTGAGCAGATTAGAGGAGAGAAGGCTGAAAGCTCCAAGTTAAGCTCTTGACTGGGCATCACATCTTCGCAAAATCATTATCTTTGTATTTGAGAGGGAAAAATCCATACATTCATTTAGCAAACTTCTGAAAAATATAATGTCTGACAAAATATCAAAGTACAGTAGTTTGACAAGCTCACAATGTATCAGAAGAGAGCACAAAACTTTTATTTATTGAGAACTTTGCACTCAGCCACACTGAATTTGTATTTTGCTTTGTCTCAGCTCTAGGGATTATTAATGCAGAGAAAAAATGGAAAAAGGAAGATAAAGCCTCAGAGAAAGCAACTAAATATAGGTTATTAAGAAAAAAAAAAGGACTGATAGATGAGTAAATCTTATACTTACTCGGAAATGGCAAATAACAAATGAAATCAATTTTAAAAAATGCAATCAAAATCAAAGAAAGGGGCATTTTGGCTTTGCTTCTATGTTTTTAAAAGTGTAAATAATGTGATACACAGAAAAGCTATTTCAGACAAATTTAAAAATAATTATAGAAAAAAAAGTTGGGCTTAAAATAATTTAGAACAACTTTAAAACCAAAGTTTACAAAAAATACTGCATGAGACGAAGGACACAGTTTACTAAAGTGAATGAAAAAAACAGAGGATTAAAAAATGAGATATAATGTAAAATCAAAGGATGTTTATAAATAAAACATGACAAAGTTCAAACTGTGGAAAAAGGTACCATAAGAATTCAACTAAGAAGACAGTTTTAGCCATTTTTTTCATATAAAAAGGAAACTATTTATGTAAATACAGCTATTTATAGGGCTATTTATATAAAGAACAAACTAAAGATGGAAACAATAATGCAAAGTTTACTAATCAATATGCACACACACCATACTTGACAGAGCATATGCGTCTGCTATAGCTTGCCGACAGATGACTCAGGTACCAAAACTTGGATATAAACCTGAAGCACATAAGGAGTGAATACCACAAATACATTATAACCACGTAATATATTATTAAATTGAACTAAATGTAGCAGTTAATGTCAGCAGTACCATTCTTGATTTTGGTCTATTTTATACAAGACTATGATCTTGCAAGTGAGCATATCCCTCCAATGCACATTCTTTTTCTCCAGTGGGTAAGATGCTGTCACAGCCAAATTTTCCAATACAAAACAACTACATTGCCATAGTTCATAACATATGACTAAAAGTATGCCTACAGGAGTATATATATGATTATCCTATGGAGAAAGCCAAGCCTTACTGCTGCAAATTCAACTCAACACCTTAGTTTTCTTAAGACTGGGACACTTATTTCACATGCTTCTGTGTCGCCAAGAATTACAAGAAAAAAAGATGACCATCTTAGACCTGACATATAACTTTTATATAGTCTCAGATGAGATGAATTCCAGTCTGATGAACATTTTTTTTTATCAGCTGCAGCTACGTGTTTGTACTGAGCTTAACAGATAAACTGAACAGAAAGATAACACAACACAGTGATTTAACACTGCTTGTTACCACATGTACCAGAACCAACAGTCTCCAGATCTGCCATTTCAACAGCACATTTTTGATCTGTGTAAAAAAGAAGCATCTATCTTGCAGCCTCTTTTTGAAATGGGGCACTATTTCAATTTGAAAGATCAGTTTCGAGCATAGAGGTTAGAAGAGCTCTTGTATTGCACCATATGATAACAGATTGAAATTGATGATTTTTTTTACATGCTTTCCATACTTTTGCCTAAAGAGTCCTATTTATTGGGTTAGCCATGTCTTCATTTTTCTAAAAGCAATTCCAACAGAGGGCAGTACTCTTGATGCACTAACTTGTAATCTACAGGTACGCTTAGAGAGACAAAGGCACTGAGTGTTTCTGTATTCTATGTGAGGTATCAACAACGCCATAGGTCACAGATTACAGAAACATTTAATAAAGGCATGTAAATGGTGATCAAAAGACCACAGGGTAGATGACCCCATGTTAAAAGATTTTGTGTTCCCTCAGAAATACAAAATAATTGCAGGAAATTTGCTGGGTAAAGGTTATGAAAAATCATCAGCTATTAACGAATGCAGCTACAGAAACTGGGTTACTACTACTACTGTAGTATCACAGAAAAGCTAAAAATTTTTATATTCATCAACTGTTTTCCAGTAACAGATTCTAAATGAGATTTGATTAAGAGTGAGAGTAACGTCAAGAAAAAGGGATCTTTGTCTGTCTTGGCCAGTTGGGACTCCCCATGGTAAATGCAGCTGCTGTTGCTGTGTGTTACTTTTCTTTCTTACATAAGAACTGTATTGTCTCAGGTTTGCTTTCGTTTTTTTGTTTGTTTGTTTGTTTGTTTTACAACAAAAGCTGTTAATATGTTATATTAGGAAGAATGCTACCTTATCATGACTGCATTTTAGCGATGAGTTCTTCACTGTAAAGCCCACCTGGTGCTCAAATCCACCTGAATATCTGCATGATAGTAATTTTAATACCAGGATGTAATTTCAATAATTTTATCATTAATGACTTACCATTTATTCACAAAACTGAAGCACAGGTTAGAACTCCCTCCCTTCCAAAGGAGAAGCTTAAATGAGGTGACAGACAAAGCGAAAAGTCTCGCTCTGTACAAACACACATGACAAGCTTGAGTTTGACTGGAAAATTTCTGAAGCAAAGCAGTTTTGCCAGCAACTGCCAATTTCTTGAACTAAAAGCACTTTGCAAAAAGCACCAGTTTTAATTCTACTTCATGCATTTCATCTAGCCAGCTATGGCACACACAGTTACAGTACTTTGGAAACTGTTGTTCTTCCCTATCAGATCATTTGGCTGGGACTTCAAGATCCTGATCTGCAAGTCTGTCTACGTGTAGGACAGCCTCAACAACCTGCCATTATCCCAGGTTTCTCAAAGCTCAAAATAATTCTTGCTAGTCTTCCACATCTCCAGGTTAGACGAATTCTCCTGGATTTTTCCCCTCTCAGATGTTCCTGAGAACAAGACTACTAACAGCTGGACAGGTCCAGCACAGTCTGAAAGAACCCTTCACAATTTGCATGAGCTGGCTAACTGTAATTGCCATACCTTATTTCATATAGCTGAGTACAGCATGCAAAACAGAATTAAAAGGTCTGCCATGTTTGCTACCTGACCTTTCCCTTCCTCTCAGCATACTCATGAAACCTGTTTTCATGCAAAAAAGCCATGCTTTTTTGTTGGTTTTGTTTTTATTTTCTTAACAAAGTACATCTCCTTGGTATTTTTCTAAGTCAACTAATATTAACAAAAGTAATCCAGCTTCATCAAAGACATCTTCCCTCCATATATGTGCTAATCTCGCCTTCACTTTGCACAAAAATGTCTCCTAAGTTATGATTACAAATTCATATGGATAAAAGTGAACAGATTATACAATGTATAAAGAGTTACATGTGAAAAGAGAAATTAAAATATTTTATACTTGCTTTCATAATGCAGCCTTCAACCCTGTATACTTTCTTCCTCCCTCAAACACTGTCTTTCCTTCCCACACTGTGCTCTAATATCTGTTTTGCTAAATTTACAGTAGAGGGAACAGGACAGTCCCTCCTGTATGAAAGTGTGTTTAATGTTCTTGAACCTTCAGTTTCTTCAGATGCAAGGATAAGAGAAATCTGTCTTTGTTGCATATGGAAACTACAGATGGGGTTTTTTAACTTACAGATTTGACGTCAAATTTATGTGGCCTAAATGCAAGAGGGGCTAACATCTACTTCTATGGAGAAGGTCCTGAAACAGATGTGATGGCATCAAATGCAGAGTGAAAGCTGGCAAACACAGGATAAGGTTAGATAACTCTTCCTGCCTGCAACAATACCCTTTCCAGAAAAATAACTGCTACAAAGGAAAGAATTTCCCAGTGAAGGAACCCTGTGTGATTTAAAGTAATCATTCATTTCTGTCTCAAAGATTAACCTGAAACCACAACAATAAATTTATTTGTTTTACTTGAAAATGAGTGAATACAGTCACCAGTACTTCCACCTCAAGGATCTTGGCCATTTGCCTTGAGTTACTTACCCGCTTATGAAGACGTTCTGCTTCCTCCTGATAGGCAGCAAGTTGTTGTTTCCATTGTTTTACATTGGCAGTGGACTCCAGCAGGGCTGCTGTGAGCTTAGCGTTATTACCCTTGAGTGTGGCCAGTTCTGCCTCCCAATGCTTGCTGATTGTCGAACTGCACAGACAGAATAAGAATAGTCAGAGCCCCCAAATCTCTTCTTCAATTTTTTTTCTTAATTAAAAATGACTTATAATTTTTTTCAAAGTATCTAGGAAAACAGAATTATGCAAATCCTATGACTGAATGTGCAAATGAGAATCCAAATCCTCAAATCATCAAAACTGTAAATTCTGAAAATACAGGTATCTCCTCATTGGAAAACAAATTCTACCCTCCCAGTTCAACCAGGTAACTTTTTTAGTAAAATGGTAAGGATGATGGAATCCAGCTTCCCAAAAGCGACAGTGTGCAATTGTAGAATATGTATATGATTAATCACTATTTTAATATATACATATAGAGTGAAAGTGCTCTTTTAATGTACTACTTTACAAAATATATTGTAGAAAAAGATTTGTCACCAACTTGATTAAAGTGAGTTAATGTAGTGCTTTGGAACCACGGCTTAGTTGTTTTAATGCAAGCCTTCCACTTCTTTATTAAATACCATATTTAATTTGTACTTCCAAACTCAAAGATCTTGAATTTCAACACCGTAATACTATTAATATGCCTCTCCTCAGTTATACCAGCAAAGAGACTAAAGATGAAGGAGCACAGAGATATTACTGCTTTATTGCAAAGAAGATGATGTCGGGGTTTACTGAAATAGCCTATGAAGAAACAATCTTTGCCTACAATTTAGTCATTCTCTGAACAAACACAGGGCTTTAATTCTCACAGGTAATTAGTTTGCCGATATCCGCAGATCCCATCCTTGCACTCAGTATTCAAGACAAAAACATCTAAGACACATCAGGTCAATGTATTAGTATGCAAATGTCTCATTCATGTTTACTTGTATAGTGCTAACAGCATGTGAGGTGCACACCTATATGGAAAATACATACAGGAAATAATTTTGTCTAATTAGATTGCTATTAAGGGCACAATTGAAAACCAAAGATCTGTAACTCTGGTCAAAATTCTTTTGTATATTACTGCTATGGCTATCCCGGTTCAAAAGCTCAAAGGTTCTTTTCTCCTCAATTATAGCTTTGTGATGAATGATGAGGAATTATTATAATTATTATAATAAATACCATTTAGTAGGCTTAATTAGAAATATTAGTGTTTATAGGTTTAACTTTGTACATATGAACAACGAAACAATCTGCCACCATTTTGTCCACTGAGTTTCTTTTTTCCATTTCCCGCATATGCATGGCCCATCCCACCAAAGCATATTTCAAAAACATTATGACTCCTATAAATGCTCCTTAAGTATTCAAAATTAATCAGTTACCAAAGAACATTCATTATCAATTCAGATCACATCTACAGCTTCACTAATACATGATGTCTGATTTTTCCAGCATGTTCTGGGGATGCTGCTTCATTCCCTTCAACAAGAATACAAGTTCCTTTGGAAAAAAAATATGGGTTTCTTTCAAATTGCTCTAGCATTTAATGATCTATTCAACTAACCAGAAGTCCACCACTGGAAAGTTTAAATTTTAAGTTACTAAACTAAAAGAATTATATTCCTATTTCATTTGAAACACTGACTCACATATTAAAGAAGAAGAAACTTCTGTAACAATGTCTACTCTTAAGTTTCTATAATCAGATTTACTTTTCACTTCATAGTAGCGCAGCAGATCAACAAATTCTGTAAAAAATATGCTAAACAAAATCTAGTTCATTATCATATTTATAACTACTCCTTGATGTTCTGATCTGCCAAGCACCCATTCCAGCCATTTCAGCAAGTAGTTCCACTTTATAGTCCTGCTATGGAAAGATTAGTAGCAAATTTTGTGTGTGTGACACCTTACACGTGTTTACAAAATGTGCCTTCCTACTCATCTTTCTCCACAGAAGAAACATACACACAAGATTTTATACTGATGTAACACAGCAGATTTAAACCTTTGTATCTGGGACAGTTTCAGGATGAGAACTATTTGATCACTTAATATCTTAATTTAATATGCAAACAGGGAAGTGAATGGATTTTTTTTTAATGTAATAATGTGCATACCCCCAATGACACAAGATAAACTTTTAAGATACTAAGATCCCAAGGGACAGACTCTCAAGTAGTGTTGAGTAATAATGCAAAGGGTATTCGTGCCACATTTCACCTTCACCTTTGCCCAGTTCCCTTATTACCCTCCCAAGGAAACAGTCAGGAGCTCTTAAGTTACTGCTTGTATACTGCAATGTCAGCATTAAATATGAAGCATATACTTTCTATTACTGCTATGGCTATCCTGGTTCAAAAGCTACAAGGTTCTTTGGAGCTGGTTAGTTTTCAATTGGCTGTTTTCAACAGGAATCCACCAGTATTATTTCTCAATCGTACTTTTTACCCCTAAGCGACGTACATAGTGGGCATGAACATGTCCATTGTAATGCAGATGTTATTTGTTTGTAGCATATAGGTTTTTTCTACAAATAGAAAGAGATTGTACTATGGCTCCATGTTACTTATATTAGTCCAGTTTTGTATCTGATAATACACAATGACTTCCCAACTATTTAGACTTACACTGTTTCTTGTCGCGAAACTCCACATTATCTGACATAAACGTAACCATGTGATGTATATCATACCATGAAACACAGCTAGAATCAAAGATGTAAATTTTTTGTTTCATAAAATCGTAATTTGATTAAAATAGCCCATAACCAATCCTGGCAGTTCTGACTTGCTTTTCTCGAGTACTTTATCGACAAACTAAAAATAAAATGAATATAACCAAAATTTCACTCCGTGGATTATTTTGGTTAAAACTGAATTTATTTGGATTTAGAGTAATTATTTTAGGAGCAGATAAAAGCACACCAGCAGCAGGCTGTTCTTAAGCTAGACTAAGAGTATCTGCACTGAAGTCTGCATTGGTTCAAATTTATCAATACTTCAAGAGGAAATGTTGAGAAATACATGGTTCAGACAGAATGAGAATACTCTCTCAGAAGAAATGATGCTGGGGCTAACACCTAGGAGAGGGAACACACATGGAAGCTGAAGGACACGTGTGGAAAATTCAAAGGGCTCACAACAACTGCAAAAGCCCATGGCCAGAATTTTGGTGGTGCAACAGCTGCACTACAGTCCCCCAGGATAGGTATGGGAGGGCTGCACATACTCTTTCTCTCCAAAATCTTTTACTTAATTCCTGTCTGAAAGGCTTCTTGCCAAAAGGAATTGATTTTGCCCTTGATGCATTAGTTTCTGTCATAGGAAATTACACACACAGCTCTTAGGTTGTCTTAACAGCTGTAAAAATTTAAACAAAACCCAAATCCTTCCTCAAGTGTTCTGAAATTATTTGCTCTAGGAAGCACATGAAATACTAACACTTGGTGATCACAGTGATCCAAACTACAATGTTAACCTCTACCAGAACACCTTTCAGTTTTGCCCTGCAGTGCAAAGAGCAATGCTTTATGTATGCATTGGGTGACACAGGCAGTCCTGTGGTGCAATACATGCTTTGTTTTCTTCTGAAAGCCATTCATCCCTTTGCTGGCAGTGCCACAATTTTAACAGTTACTTCTTCAGACCTCTAAGAATTAACATCACTGACCCTCTGGCACACTCAAAGTTTCAAGATGGTCCTTCAGAAAAAGACATAATTAACACTTCTGCTTGTTGCCCATTTCTCAGTGTGAAAAGCTCCACCAAACCTACAAAAACACCCTAACAGAGAACAAAGCCTGGTCATTTCCCTTGTGAAACCTCTGAAAATCTGAGAATAAGAGAACAAGCTGTTTTGCCTACATCACTACATTAGTGCCAAGTACAAGACGGATAATGGGCCTTTAATGGATAATAGCAAAATATGGGTTTTATTGGCTCAGCTGATCATGCTATACAAAGAAATTCTGTTGTAACAGAGGTTTAGGTCTGATTGCACAGAAAATTATCTTTACAATGACAACTGCTGACAGGATCATAAGTGATGGTTACTGAGAAGAAGGTCAAAACTCTCTTGAACATCTGATCCTTGGTGCCAGCTGCAGTATCTGGCGCTTATGTGAACTTCAGACACGTCCACAGTCAGAACACACATGGTGCTCCACCGTCAAGGCAAAGGATTCAGAGTCATGTATTTATGACTCTTACTAAACGTATTTAACATCTACAGCATCCAGTAATTCAGTCACTACCACAGAACACTCCTAAAATAACTGCTGTCTGGTATCATACAGCCTAACTTTGACACCTCCTGAAAACTAAAGTAGGAGTCAATGATCACACATGCTTTTAGGTATGCTGACCAATTAACATCCGGCCAATCTCCTTTCTCACTGGGTATTAGTTACAACCCCAGTAAGTCACTGAGGAATAGCTTTGCTATCTGTCCATCTGTGACCTGAATAGAGTGCCAGGGGCTATAAATGCATGATTATCTTCCTCTGCAAAGTAGGTCACTTAAGGAAAATTAATCCGAAAAGCTCCAGTCACCACGTTTAGCCAGTTAGAGGCTTGCGAAGGCAGGGGGCGGGGAGCACACATTAATGAGCTGCATTCAGAATGAAGTTATTTTGAGAGATGCCTTCATGAAACAAAGAAACAAAAGCCGTTCAAATCAAAAGATGTTTTCTGCTTTTTGAAACAGTATTGCTTATTCATTGTTTGCCAGGTTGTATGCAGTACCAACAATATAAAACATGGTTTAAGCTTTATTTCAGGTTTATAGAAATATGTGCAGAGTTCTGCTTTATTAATATTTTGTGGGGTTTAATATCGGATTCACTGCATAAAATTAACTAATTTAAAAATTTATTTCTTACTACACCATAGTCATGGATTCAGAGAAATACAGTTACTTCAGAGCACATACTTTTTCTTCTTCAGGTGTCAGTGTGATCTGCATTCCAGCTGTACGGTGAGCAGTGCTGTCCTGGGATAGCAGAAATGAGGAGGAATTCAGCTGAGTAGAGAATGGAGTACTTCCACTACAAAATTTGGCATCTGGTATAGTAAATCCGTAAGACTTGAC